ACTTTGCTATTAAAAAAAAAATCAAGTTCCGGGGAAGGGGGGGGAAATATCTCGCAAATTTATGAACCGATTTTTAATTTTTTTTCATCAAACATTTTTTTTTTCATGCTCTTTCATTTGATATGTCACAAGGGGTACCTTGCTATTTAAAAAAAATAAGTTGGGGGCAGGGGGGAAAGGGGGGAATGTGAATGTAACGTTAAATTCAAAACAATTGGGCCCCCTACGTCAATAGATGATTCCCGCAAACTGCATATTTCTATCTATTGCGGTTTTTACATAAATAAAGATGCAAGTTTTTAAAAAAACACCCTGTAGATACAGAATCCATTGTTTTATAAACTTACCTGACCAAAAAATAAACTAAAGTAGCAGCGGACGAACTTTTTCATGTCATATTTCATTAAACATCATACTAATATTATAAATGTGAAAGTTTGTGTGTTTGTTTGTTTGTTTGAAGTTCAATCACGCATTAACTACTGGTCGGATTGAGTTGAAATTTGGTATGATGATAGCTCACATTCCCGATTAACTTATAGGCATATTCTTATCTCAAAAATCCTTTAGGGGACCAGTGGCTCTAGAATTTCCCACGTTAACCTTATGAGTATTCATATTTAAAAGGAATTAAAGAATGTTTCCAGCTGTTTCAACTACACAAGTTGGGCCTATGCATTAAGTTGCATTAAAAGGTTATAAGGTTTACCAACAGGGTGCAGCACTATTAATTCTTTTTGCATTTATAACAATTTAGCTAATTTGAACCAAACAGCAACAAAAAGCTGTGAGAACTTTACGTTTTTCTTTTGTTTAGGTGCAGTGGTAGAACATTATGGATATCGTAGATGTGCTATACTATAGTATACAGTAAATTATAGTAAACCAATTTTTCTTATAACGTACGCGTCCTCTCCCATTGCAAACGCAAAGCACGAGTATGACTGCAATAAGCATTTTATACTTATACGCCAACCCCGTACAAAGGACGGGTACTCTGCTAGTATAAAATAATCGACTTTATTTGAATATTTAAAAAAAAGTACCGGGGGACCGAGCCGTGGCTCGGTATGTTTATTTGGATTGTAAAAGCAATATAAGGGAAACTAGCGTTTTCTTTATAACTAATTCGGCTTTTATTGTTTAAGTTTCAGTGGAATTTTAATTTACTATGATGGAAATTTTAACTGGTCAATCCAACACATTAATTTATTTTAATCTTACACATTTCTTATATTGTAAATAAATCATACAAATGTTAAAAAATAAAAAAAGTATATTTTTTTAATACGTTCCTATTGTAGGAATTAATATGCGACCACAGGTTAAAATAGTAGCAATCAGCTACAATACAGCGTATGCAAGGGGTGTGATTAATTTCTTGGTACTAAATTAAGTCATTCTTCATGTATAAGTAAAACTTCAGCATGGACATACTCTCTAACATACTATCATATGATGGATTAGCTGAAGGTAGATAAGTCCGATTTAAGCTTAACTAGTGGTCGTCCAGGGGTCGAAAACTCGACCAAAAATATGTAATGAACAGGTTTCAAATGATTTAGGCCTAAAAAAATCAAAATGGTAGCTTTGTGAGTAACTAAAAAATTCTGGAAAATTTAAATACAGTACGATATTTAGATATGTTTCTTACTCAGGAACAATGCCCTAAAATATTGGTAGAGAATACCGGGACACCCTGTATAAATGTACGTTAATGTGATGATAAATTTGCATTTTAAATAGTCAAAATACAATAAGTATTGCGCAACCGTGATATGTTAAGTCATTAACCTTAGTTCAGTAATAAAAACTACACCGTGTGCTTACTCAAATAAAACAAAACTTGCTTACTGTACAGCAATAAATCACGTAGAGAACAAAACAAAAGAAAGTCTAGACTATATATAGTAAACTATTTATACCGTAGTCATCATAGGCTACTACTAGGCTACATGATGTTTCACAACAGAGGAATGTGGATAAAAACGTTAAATAACTCATAAAACACCATAAAATCATAGTAGGCCTACTGTACTTAAGTCTTTCAGGTAATAACAACAGTAATAAAAATAAGATATAGATAACAATGATGTAAAACACCGCTTATTATTTCTCTTTGTTATTCTATTCTTTCTTTGGTTTCTCTTCATCCACAAGTTGTCATGGTTACTAATCACCCAACCACAAAATGTTGTAGTGTTGTGACAGCAGACAGGAGCAGACGATTGTCAGTCTGTCACTGTCAGTGTCGGTGCAAGATTGTCAGTCTGTAGGTGCGAGAGTATTGCTTGACCTTGAAGCTACTGATCAATATTTCTCTGTCTTGCTTCCATTTTATTTTTGTCAAATGAACTGTAATGTTTCAATGATGTGGAACCTACTGTACATTAAAATTACCGGAAATAGTTAAATATATAGTTCATATAAAAATATTAGACTGAAAACACAATTAATAAAACATGTTCTTGTGATTTGTGAGGTTATATAATATATAGGCATCATGTTGATCCGACCCCAGTAAATCGAGGTTCTACTGTATTTGCAAGTTACAAATAGAAAACCATATCACATTATGGTTGGTATTCAATGACCGATGTATCAAAAATTAATTCATAACTTATTTTGATATTAATCAGAAGCATTAATTACAGCTTGCAGCACTTATTGGTATATATAAATATCAAAGTTACTATTACTTTAAAAAAATAAAACACGAAATTGTGGAGCCATTCAATTTTTATAAACACAGTGTTAAACATTTTACTCTACAGAATACCGGATGGTAAAGAGTGTTTGGTTTAAAGAAAATTAAATAAAAAATGGTTTAACCAGCTTTACTATTTATTTTGAAAAACAATAGAAAGGAAACCATAAGGATAGGTATGGGATTGAACTAAAATAATTGCAGGGAAACTTAAATAGTAAAGTCCACAATCTGTACATCGTTAGAGAGAGAGAGAGATTTGATAAGGAATCTGAAAAAGTAAACAAATAATCGTTTCTGGCGTTTGTCATATTGTACCCCCCCCTCGCATTTGCACTCGTGCGTGACCACCTTTTGTTGCTTCCTTATCTTTCATCCGTCCCAAAATAGAATTCCTGGAATAGTTTGTTGGTAAAATTAAAATTATTATAAAAATCTTTTATCTTTCGAGTGTAATTTCGTGGTTATTCTTATCAGATAGGATAATATCGTTGCCATACGTAATAGTTCCTCCTTCGCGTTCCGCAATAGCGTAAAAAAACAGTCTCCGTATCTCAGACAAGATTCACGTATATTTCCGAGATAAAGAAAATCCGTATAATTCCCAATCTTCCCGGTCCGTGGCCACACTGTGAATATTGTACGTCAATAAAGGGGAAATTGACTAAAGGTTCTACTGAAGGTGAAAATATTTCACTTTTATAATTTAAAAACAAAATAAAAAACTTAAAAAATGAGATGATGAACGGGTAGGATCAACATTCAACCATTTATAATTAATTAATATTCGACTTTCCTTATTAGCGGTGTATCATATTTTTTGGATTATGAACATGTTTAAAAATTAACACGTAGTTAACTAGATATTACTAGATATCACGTAGTTACTATCCCAACATAAATAGTAACAAGGAGTAAACGAAGGCTACAGACCGCTCGGTGTACCACTACAAAGTATGCGAGGAGGGTGCCGTACTTGGCTACACTACTCCACGATAGTTCATTCTTACACACGGGACGATGAGACAGTCTCCGCATTGGTATTGCAGTTAGGGTACGTCCACAATGCACGTTGGTTTAAGCAGGGAGTCAGATTCAGATTTTCGGTGCCGAGTGTCTGACTCAGATGAGGTGGCCATAATGCAAGCAGGTTGTCAGCCGGACCTGTCTGTGTTGAGTCCTATTTAAGGGATACTGTACATTGATAAATACATATTATATACATATTTATACATATTTTATACAGGTTTAATACATATTATTAACTTCTTGCAGACGACAATATGTTTTTTTAATATTTAAGAATGAGCTTGAGCACCTTCTTAAAAATGAGCACAAGCTTGCCAAAAACTGGGGAAAATATCACAAAACCTTGAAATAGCATGTCCCGTTGAAGTAACTAAATTTATTTCCGTAAGTTAAATTGCTTATTTTGAAAAAATTCAATATTACAAACAATTTAATTAAATCACATTGTACCTTAAATTTATCTGCTGATTGTCAATCAGCAGATAAATTTAAGGTACAATGTTACTATATTTGTTAAAAATTATGCACTTTGATGCGCTTATTGCAATTTTTTGGAACGTGTTGAACGTTTGGTAGCAATTTGTCGATATCCATGGTTAATGTAATGAAAAACCTATACACTCAATACAAAAACAAAAATCAACAGTCCGATATAAGCAGGTTGTCTGAAACCAGAATGAACAATTCATTCCGGTAAAAATCTGAGTCAGACTACCTGCGCGCAGAAAATCGGCGCGCAGGTGCACTATGGCCGCTTACGTTTATTAGCATGGGATGATAAGCGCGCCGAGTCTGACTTAATCGGCGCCGACAGTCTGACTCAGAAAACCAGCGTGCATTGTGGACGTACCCTTACGCTTATCGACACAGGCGGCAGCACCGGGTAAGCTGTTTCATACGTATAAAATGCACGGGAAGCCATACCTGACTGGCTTATGGGAGAGCTGACTGGCTTTCGGGCGGGTGACTGCCACACCGAGTAAATTACCAGCGTAGTGACTGCCATTCCGGGTGGGTATAAAAGTATAAATATATATATAAATATATATATATATATATATGAATTTGAACGGAGGGTGTTTTTGGCCTCTGGGGACCTCAAAACGAAAAAGTAAATCGGTCCCGGGTCCAGGTCTTACCATGAGTACTACGGTAATAGCTTATTCCCTATATAGGAAATATGCTAAAACCAGTGTACAAAGACTAAGTTTATAATACAAAACAAAATGCACTTATGGATTTATACAAATCATAAAGGACTCACTGACTGCTCGGTGGCCGCTACGACAGCCTCACTGTTTTGAGAGGACAGCTGCAACACCATGACTCCGCTATCAAACTTGTGTAGCCGCAGCGGCAGTCCGAGCCCAGCCATGGTGTGACACGCGGTCAGTAGATCTTCTGGTGACAATAGCTCCAGACCTCGCGCTCTGTTGACCCGACAATACACGTCTGCCAGTGACATCATGCCTCCCACCTCCTGTACAGTGATGTGGATTTATGTAGAATTATTTTAATTTGAGCACTAAAAATTGGAAATAACAATCCATTTTATAACCCTTGGAACCATTTTATGACAAAATATCAATTTACAACTTCCCAAAAGTGCATACCTTATTTAACATTAAATGGCTTCTGGGTACTTGAAATACAAAAAAATACATTGGTCAATGACTATGGTGAAATGCACTACCCTATGGGAAAATTCGCTGTTAATATTTTGAAGCTTGTCCAAGGGGTGTAAACTTACCTCAACAGGTTGTTTTAGAAAGTCTGCAAGCTGCTTGGCTAAACTCTTGTGGAACTGCGTTTCACTGCGGAAATTGTCCCTTGTAACTGGATCATCAATTCCAAGACTCAACAAATATGACTTGAATCTGACAGTCTCATCCTTGGTGATCTCACCCTGCTTCTCCTGGCAAAAATCTAATATTTTTATTCAAAATAAAAGTACCCCTACACCCTTTTATCACTGCCAAAATTAAAATACAATACAATACTTACAATGGTGGAGGATGCATGTTTGTTACATTTTTATGTAGATTCTTAAAACAGTACCTCAACTAATATACGTTTTAATTAAATATTTGGAAATAAATTGATTGACCCACAAGGAGTTTGAGAATAAGTTAAAAGAAGAAACTATATTCAGGTGACGATGTTTAAAATCAGAGAGAGGTAGAACACACAGTATTTGTCTTTACCAGGGCCTATAATACGGCAGAACCCATATCCCAATAAGCAAAAAAAATTGTTAAAAATTGTTAAAAGTTGTATTACAATTGTTGTATAACAATTTTTAAACATTTTGTTTTAAACTTCATATTACAACAATTTTAATATAAGATTGAAACAATTTTAAAATTGTTTAACAATCAGTTTTATCCAGTTTAAAAAAATAAGTTTTAATACAAGTTGTAACTATTTTACAACAATTTTAAAATTGTTAAACAATCAGTTTTTTTGCAGTTTAAAAATAAGTTTTAATACAAGTTGTAACTATTTTACAACAATTTAAAAACTGTTAAACAATCAGTTTTTTGCAGTTTAAAAAATAAGTTTTAATACAAGCTGTAACTATTTTAAAATTTTAAAATTGTTTTATTCTTAGTTTTTTTTTTTATAAACAACTTTAAAACAATGTTTAAATTGTTTACAATACTATTTAACAATTGTTTGTGAAGTTCTTAAAAAAACATGTTTCAACAATTTTGAAATCAATTTTCTCAACAATATTTAAATTGTAAGTTTCAACAATTTTGAAATAAATGTTTAATTTGTTTGATTATTAGCGAATTTCCCATATAGGGAATAAGCTATTACCGTAGGTCTCATGGTAAGACCTGGACCCGGGACCGATTTACTTTTTTGTTTTGAGGTCCCCAGAGGCCAAAAACACCATCCGTTCAAATTCATATATATATATATATATATATATATATATATATATATATATATGTGTCCGTTAGCACGATAACTCGAACAAAAATTATCCGATTTTGATGAAATTTGGTATAAACGTGTAAACCTACATTTATTCGAACGAGTTCGCGAACCAGCATGATCGGACCATGGGAACGGGGGTTTATGGGGGGTTTTATGGGGTAAAAATTGGTTTTTCCCATTTTTGAGCCTTAAAACATAAAATTTTGGAACTTCCTTCCCAACCATTTTGTAGAGCTTAAAAAAGAAATCATTTAGTATATTGAAGCATTGTTGTATGCCTAATGGTTACGGAGAAAATTCAAAAAAGTGCAAATTTAAAATTACCATGTTATTCTTATGGAGAAAATGAAAACTGTTGTAGTTTACTTGTTTATGGATATATGTTGATAAAATTTGGCAAATTTATTTATTTCATCCTATACTATTGACGTTTGGTCAAAAAACACTCTTTACCTTCCCTGTAGCAGCTAACCTAAGCACTCGTTAAATCTAATATTATTTAAATTGTAAACAAATATGTCTTATGTATGGAAATATTTTAGTAAATATGTAATCTGACAAGTTGAAATTCGCTTAGTCTGCAGGTTTGCTGCGGCGGGGGTATTTATGTTTAATCTTAATTAATGGGTTGTATCCCTTTTTTGGCCGTTTTTACATTTTCTTGCATTTAATTTTGATATATACTAGATAAATAGGTTTTATCAATCATGTTTAAATAACAGCCTATAATGTTTAAATTTTTTAATTGAAAATGAAATGACGTAATTGGAAAAGCACCTATTAAAATACGTAAACAATTATGTTTATTGTACAGGCACGGCAATTAAATAATTCTTCTTATTAAGATTTTTTTTGAATTTTTTATAATTTCGTAGTAGTTATTACATTATGAATATTGAATTACATTATGAATAGCTAAATTCATAATGCATAAGTTACCGATTTTTGTGATAAGTTACCGATGACGTTAATTGTGATACTAGATACAGTGATGGAACACCTGCTTAACATATAATAATAATAATAATGCAAATATTTTTGTTTTTTTAGCGAATTTCCCATATAGGGAATAAGCTATTACCGTAGTACTCATGGTAAGACCTGGACGCGGGACCGATTTTTTTTTCGTTTTGAGGTCCCTAGAGGCCGAAAACACCATCCGTTCAAATTCATATATATATATGAGTAATTGAAAACATTTTAAAAACATTAGTACCCTTTTCAAAACATTTTAATTAAAATGTTTTGAAAAGGCTACTAATGGTTTTAAAATGTTTTCAATTATTCATATAGTAGTAGCCCTAATCACATTTATACTTATTATATATATATATATATTTTTTTTTATAGTTCTGTTCACTTTTTAGGGCTACTTTTTCAATACATAAGTTAAATAATAAAAACCAGAGTACCCTGAAATTCATTTTTATTTAAACTGATACGTATATCGGCACTAAGGCCATGATCACAGTACGAGTTATAAAAGTATGTAAACAAATAAAATAAACAAATAGTTAATAACATATGTTTTGAATTCATTTAAATTTTGATTAAATGGTTAGGTGAATTTTTTTAACATGTGAATGTGTAAGATTCTTTCCTGATTTGACTGGTTTTTTCATGAATTGGATTTTCTTTTTGTTTTTGCATTACATTGAGAATTTGGTCGCCGTGTTCTTTTGAGTGTAGGTATATTTGCAGTTCTTCTTTTACATCCATTTTTTCACCCTTTTTCTCGTAATTTAGAATTTTGACGCATTCTTCTAATTTGCCATAATTATGATTATTTTCTAATATATGTTCTGCATACATTGAGCGTTAAGATGTTTGATTGTTTGATTTTACGGCTTGGATGTGTTCTTTGAATCTGCATGAAAATGCTCTTCCAGTCTGACCAATGTAGAATTTGGGACAATTTAGACATTTAATTTTGTATATTCCAGATTTGTTATATTTGTCAATTGTAATACAATAATAACATATAATAATAATAATAATGCAAATATTTTTGTTGTTTTAGCGAATTTCCCATATAGGGAATAAGCTATTACCGTAGTACTCATGGTAAGACCTGGACGCGGGACCGATTTTTTTTTCGTTTTGAGGTCCCTAGAGGCCGAAAACACCATCCGTTCAAATTCATATATATATATGAATAATTGAAAACATTTTAAAAACATTAGTACCCTTTTCAAAACATTTTAATAAAAATGTTTTGAAAAGGCTACTAATGGTTTTAAAATGTTTTCAATTATTCATATAGTAGTAGCCCTAATCACATTTATACTTATTATATATATATTTTTTTTTTTGATAGTTCTGTTCACTTTTTAGGGCTACTTTTTCAATACATAAGTTAAATAATAAAAACCAGAGTACCCTGAAATTCATTTTTATTTAAACTGATACGTATTTCGGCACTAAGGCCATGATCACAGTATGAGTTATAAAAGTATGTAAACAAATAAAATAAACAAATAGTTAATAACATATGTTTTGAATTCATTTAAATTTTGATTAAATGGTTAGGTGAATTTTTTTAACATGTGAATGTGTAAGATTCTTTCCTGATTTGACCGGTTTTTTCATGAATTGGTTTTCTTTTTGTTTTTGCATTACATTGAGAATTTGGTCGCCGTGTTCTTTTGAGTGTAGGTATATTTGCAGTTCTTCTTTTACATCCATTTTTTCACCCTTTATCTCGTAATTTAGAATTTTGACGCATTCTTCTAATTTGCCATAATTATGATTATTTTCTAATATATGTTCTGCATACATTGAGCGTTAAGATGTTTGATTGTTTGATTTTACGGCTTGGATGTGTTCTTTGAATCTGCATGAAAATGCTCTTCCAGTCTGACCAATGTAGAATTTGGGACAATTTAGACATTTAATTTTGTATATTCCAGATTTGTTATATTTGTCAATTGTATGTGGGTTTTTGTTTGATAGTTTATTAATTAAATTGAATGCGTTGTTTCTAGATCTTCCTTATGAGGGTTATTTTTGTTCATTATCTTATTTTCTTCTAAGTCATTCAAATATATGTCAGCTAATAGGCCAGAAAGTGGTGATCCCATCGCTAGACCATCACATTGTTTGTACATTTTAGAATCATACATGCAGATTCAAAGAACACATCCAAGCCGTAAAATCAAACAATCAAACATCTCAACACTCAATGTATGCAGAACATATATTAGAAAATAATCATAATTATGGCAAATTAGAAGAATGCGTCAAAATTCTAAATTATGAGAAAAAGGGTGAAAAAATGGATGTAAAAGAAGAACTGCAAATATACCTACACTCAAAAGAACACGGCGACCAAATTCTCAATGTAATGCAAAAACAAAAACAAAATCCAATTCATGAAAAAACCAGTCAAATCAGGAAAGAATCTTACACATTCACATGTTAAAAAAATTCACCTAACCATTTAATCAAAATTTAATATGAATTCAAAACATATGTTATTAACTATTTGTTTATTTTATTTGTTTACATACTTTTATAACTCATACTGTGATCATGGCCTTAGTGCCGAAATACGTATCAGTTGAAATAAAAATGAATTTCAGGGTACTCTGGTTTTTATTATTTAACTTATGTATATATATATATATATATATATATATATATATATATATATATATATATATATATATATATATATATATATAAATATTAGTATCCCACATTCGGATCTCCATTGCTTGGTATTGCTTTGTTACATCATTTGACCAATTCGGTCTCTAACCTCGAAATTGCTTTAATAGAGTCTTCTGATCTCCGGCATTAGGAACTCTGGATGTAGAATTGATTTCATTATATACACTGTATATACGTAACTAGTAATAATTAGGCAGCATTTAAATGTATTTTACGGGGGTTTTCAGGAGTGATTTATGAAAACTAGATAACCTGTTGCTCAAAATCGAGCAAAACCGAAACTTGTATAAACAAATAAACAAAAAACATAAACAGCCAGACCTTAATCAAAGAGTCGCTCTAAATAATTTAAATGACTGATTATAGAAATATAAAAATATTATGATGTAACAAAATATAGAACCTTTCATTTATGGCAACAAAGAGTAAAAACTTAACTGTCTCGGCCAGTCTTTTCTTGCTTAAAAAATATGTAAGCCACTACAATGTAAACATTTAACGTTCATTTGTCCAAGATTGGACTATCACAACGGTGGTACTACCACTATGTACCCATCAAATGTTCAATTGAGAGGTTGATGCAAGCGGTCATGTTGTACTGGCGGCGTTTGATTTTAAATTGAAATGAAATAAGAAAGTTAACCAAACAACAGAAAACACTATAAAGGAATTTGGAATTTTGATATACATTGTAAATTACATGATAATATGGTAATGCAACGGATAACTGCCCTGAGAATAATCACTTTTAAACATTCACTTCATCGCATCGAACTGTAACTACACGATAATCGGTAAAGTACGATGTAAGGTAAATCAGATTTACCATAGTCAAAAAGAATGAAATATTTATTCTTTTTGTCTATGATTTAACTATTACAAACACTTTGTTGTCTAGTATTGCTAGGAAACTCTTTACTATGAACCAGACTTAGTTAACAGATTGAAACAAAACATAAATATTCTAGCTTTGCTCTGGAAGTTTTAAGTCCTGCAGTCTGTGGTTAACCTTAAAAACTATTTCAAACTACGTCCATGTGTTATTTTTTATAAACAAAAGGAAATGAGTTTGATCTAATGTCAACAGATAGCGCCGCCTTCCAAACTTTAGCCCTTAAGTGTACTCAAGTGGTACCCTTTCTTAATATTCTGAGACGTATTTGCACATATACGTGAAAATACCTTTAATTTGACACCTCAAACGTTAAAATCCGTCAAACCGTTATCGAGTTATGACTGTGAAAAGAAACCTACTTGCGTATTAATATATATAGAAGATTCGTTGACGAATCTAATCAAAATGTTGTCTTTATAAAATTTGAATTCGTATAAAATACACTATGACAATTAGTTGATCGTATATGGTTGCTTATGTAATCTTCAATTGACCCTTTCATATTGACTTTCATATAAAGCGGTTCGCACAACTATTTAGAGGACTGTTGTAAACCGTTATACCGTTTGTTCCGATCCTGAATAAACATTTTATTCGGGACATTTTATTATTCTGTGTGCTTAAACATTTTATTCTGTGCTCTATCACGCACAGGTCATTGTGACCCATGTCATGTTTTTATTTTTATATGTACGAGGTGTTAGCCCGTCCTACGTACGGGAGTAGTCAGAATAAACAAACTCAACGGTGTAGGCCTATAATTCAGAACAGCTAGTTTACACGTATAAAGACAAATTTTATTGCAGCCTACAGTAAAAAGAGTAATTATCAATTGAGAAGTGTATAGGTCTAGTCAATGATATCACCTTCCATCGCATACCCACCTCTTTCATAATCAATATCACCACAATACAATTACTCATACTATACACAATTTCCAGTAAATCTGAATTGAGACTCCCTCAAATAAAACAAAAACATCCAATAAAATTCACAGTACACATAATATAACGTTAGTGTCCTGACATCATTAAACGAATCGTCCACAGATATCCTTTATATCAATTTCACTGCATCAATTGCTAAATAAATAAGTGTAAACAAAGAAATGTAAAAACAACAACATATAGTTTGTTTTGTAAACAGCTGAGTCAAAAATAATATTCATTTGAACAAAAGAACTGGTCACATGTTGAAGAAATTTAAGAAGTAAAAACGCTAGTAGAGCTAGTGACGTAATTAACTGTCTATGTTTATTATCCATTCCGTTATCAGTTCCAATATCCTTGATAATTAAACCACCCTCATTGAATCAATGTACATCGTAATTCCTCATATTAATTTATTTTAACTATAAAATATTCAGCGCCTCCAAACGTAACCACAACTAAACACAAGCAAAACCACTTTTTAGATTTCATAAAAGGATGGTTAGTCTAATTGCAGTATCCTAGGTCAATGATGACGTTGTGTTCAATCTATGTCATTCATCTGTATATCTTCGGATAACACCCGTCTGAGGTTGTGGTGGTAATTTAAAATCGTATTTCTGAGGATTCTTGATCTCCATCTTTATGACATCAATATTTCCGGGCCTAATCCAAACAAAGTTCAAGCATTCAAAAACATTGATTGTAAACAAAAAGCTGCCAAGATGAATTATTAAAACATGTAAAAATTGTGATTTTCCTACCCTTTCCAAAAAAAAGTTTAGCAGTAAAATAATTTGCATACCTTTTTTTATTAAACTCATGTACAGAGCCTCAACTTGTACACATCGATGTTGTTACTGTACTTATCTTGGTGGTCTACTAATCTTACTTATTTCCTATAATCAATGACAAAATCAGAGTAAATAACCTCATAGGTCTATAGGGCATTTTTATAACTAACCAGCTGTTAGTTAAAACAAATTATATTGCTCTAAAACAAATCGAAGATTACAAAGATTTCTTTACAAAATAATTTGAACATCCTAGTATTTTACTATGTATATTAAATTAATCTGTCATCCTCTTACAGAAGAATTGAACGTATCAATGATTAGCATTATACATAGTATAAATAAGTCAACCCTAAGTATGTCTTTACATTTTTATCCAAATGCTGAATTTGTGACACAAAAGCTGAATGTTTACAGCTGTTATGTTAAGCAAATTATTTTATGCCAAAAGCTAGTTTAGAATCTTACCGTCGGCTGCTAGACTTTTTAAAAATTAAAACTTAATTTCTAAAAAAAAAAAAACTGGGACCCTAAACTAAAATTATGGCTTCGACATTCCCTAGTTCCCAAAATTATCTTTCTTTCAACACTTATAATATAATCATGAAAATCCGTCGAGTGGTTGATTCAGAATCGTGAAATAAAAAAACACTGTTTCGTTTTAATATTATAGATTGCTGCGAAATAATTTCCCGCGTTTACGATCCGGAGTGCGCGTTCCCGAGTGATCTCATTACCTCAAGTAATCTCGGTAATCTCTGTGATCTCGGTTGTCAAGTTACCAAATAAATCTCATTACCGCGTCCTCGGGTTCCTGAGTAAATCTCATTACTGAGTCCTCGGGTTTCCGATTATATCTCCTTAGCGAGTCGTAAAGCGATCTCCTTTCCGAGTTTTCAATTACCACGCCTTTTCAATTACCACGCCTTTTCAATTACCACGCCAAGTACGTTCTCCAAAAGCCAAGAAGTTTTTGTTGTGTACATTGCGAATCTAATATTTAAAGACATTTCATACAGAACACCTGGGTTTTAGGTCAGGCGCACACAGGCGACTTTGAGTCTAGGAAAAGTTAAAAAGTATGCTATTCTTTTAATCAAATTCATTGAACGGAGTGAGCAAAACTCTTATACGTCGACTTTTATGTATTCCTTAATATATAACATACATATATGCAGATCTATGACAGCTATTTGAACACATATCGGCATGGAATTATCTACGCCGGTGGATAATTACATTTAATTAGATTTGATGGTTCGATATACTGTACTAGAGTGCCTTATCGAACGTCTACGAATATGGTGGTAAAGTCCCCGAAAAAAGTTTGTATTGATTTCACTATTCATTTTGATATAATCGATATATTTTTCCGTATCCACTGAGTTTTATTCAAAGTTTAATCTTTACCTGCAGATCAGTGTGGATATATCACAATAATAAGCAAAAACAAACTAATGGAAAACTTGTATTACCTTGTGTTAAAAATCCAAACACTATTATTGTTAATCAGGGCACAAATTTCATTAAGTTAATTTATAAATCAACAACATAATAAATAACAGTTATTATTTTAAATCGTTCCATGGTTCAAAACGTGTACATATTTGCATTAATTTACATCATTATTTAAAACATTGAGTAAAGAAACATAGTTACGTTATATATATATATATATTTAATTGATTTTAGAAACAAAATTTAATTGCGTGCAGTTTAGTTTTGTGATATTAATAGTCAGCGAGCTGGTCTAGTGGTTAGAGCTCGGGACTCCGGTACCTGGGGTCCTGGTTTTAAATCCCGCCAAATCACTAATGGACTTCATTTCAGTGATAATGCTGTAACCCCTAGATTTAGCCTGAATTAATATGAAAATCAACTCTGGGCTTGTACCTAGCACCCTAGGACAAAAAAGTCAAATTAAAGCAGTGTTGTAAGAACACAACTGCTAAGGAGATTTCTGTAAATGTAAAAAGAGCTAATGTGAAGTAGATAATAGAAGAAAGTATAAGAGGTAGCTATCTCTGGACAGAATAAAAGTAGGTAAAGTTGAAATTTAGTTTGTAAATTGAATTAAAACACAAATAAAAATGTAAATATCGAGTTAGTAGAATATTTAAAACTGTAGGCCTACCTGTACATTTATCTCATAGTTTTAATTAACAACCTATTAATCCTGATCCAAACCTTTTTATGAGTTCAAACTTTCAATCAAAAAGCTACCATATCAAGATCATAAAAAAGATTTATACATTGTAATGGCCCTTTTGTTTCCATGGAAATAAGTACATTTTCATAAATATTTAAATCAAAATATTCTCATAATCATAAAACTTTAGAATTTTGGGAGTAGAACTTTTACCTCTTAACCTCTACTGTTTTAACTGTCAAATTATAGTATCTACAGCTGACTTCAATTAATATGTTTTACTTCCGAACGCGAACAACTAAAACATATCGCATGTCGCATGTCCATGATGTTTCCAAATGCGAACAACTAAAACATATTGCATGTCACATGTCTATGACGTTTTCGTATGCGAACAACTAAAACATATCGCATGTCGTACGTCTATGTCGTTTTCGAATGCGAACAACTGTGGGATTGTGTGTGTGTGTGTGTGTGTGTGTGTGTGTGTGTGTGCGTGTGAGTGAGTGTGTGTGTGTTAATTGGCAGGTGTAATTAAAACTGTCACTCGCATCTGTATTTAATTATTCAACATCGCGTAAGAGAGGGTGTGTTGAGTGGCAGGATTAAAAGCCGTCACACTCATCTTTGTGTAAGGTCATGGGGTGGTGGGTGGTGGGGTGTTTCATCGTGAGGTGGGTCAGTTTATAAACGCCGCACTCAGACCCTACCAATTCAGTTCAACAATACAACCGTGTCGTTTATAAAATTCTACGGGTTGTAGTTTTTTATTCTGAACATGAGTTCTGTTCAACAATTAAGCGCTAGGTTTAATTTGCTGGAAAATAAATTTTCCATCGAGTTGTACGAGTATCTTGAAGCTTTAGGAGGCTTCGTTGATAGACAAACGAATGTAAATATTTTTCTTAAGGGATTAAAAGGGTTAAAAGCTGACATTCAATGCATCGAAAAACTTACATTACAAAATCCTCATTTGAATAAATTGGGCCTGAATCTAGTACATTCCAAACATTCATGCATTTTGAGTTCAATATTTATCATATACAACAATTTCTGCACGATAGCAAAAAAAAGTAAGGCAAAATTTTTTAAAATTTTTCAACAAACATTATCGCGTTTGGAGACCGAGAAGTTTGACGGCGAAAAGTTTATTGTCAGTTTGTTAAAATTAAATTTCACACTAAACCGAGAATTTTTTAAGAAAAAAACGTCAATACAACGCTCCGACATGAACCATGTAAGTAATAGTAGTTTTATATTGTAATACACCTATTTATAAGTATAGTTTATAAATATAAATATTTTTTAAAAGTCACGTTTTAAACGCACTTAAAAATAGTAAATAATTAAATATGTTCAGAATTGTGTGCAATGTTTTGTATCTGTATTTCAAATATTTCAACAAATATTTAACCAACCTGTGATTTTTGGACACTCTGTATATAAAATATATGTCACAAAAATTCTGAAGCTACGAAGTAAAGCTGGTTGTTAGTACAAAGAATATTGAAATATAAGTTAAGAGTCGAGCTCCTGTTAAAATTGAAGTTAATATTACATCAGAACCACTAGTATGGCCAAATAATACAGCACATAAAATAAAACTAACAAAATACTTCTTCCCTGTATCAAAAATCAAATAGCAGTTATATCCAAGTAAAAAATCATTGGAATTTATGAAATAATATAATAACATAGGATTATTTGTATTTACTTTATTTGATTTATAATTTCCATTTTATATTTACAGATCAATCAACGAACCTCTTGTATATATGAAGCACCCACCGAACCCCACCCGGATAGAAAATTGGAAGCTGAAAATCGTTCGGACACATATGCTGTTACCGTTCCGACCTTCCCATCTTTATGTCCTTCGATGGTATGTAGATCTTTTCATTAGTTAATATAAAAAGGAAAAACAATTGTTTTATTGTTTAAGCTTCACAACAGTAAAACCTCCATAAAATATGAACGCCGCATAAACAAAACTAAAGTCAACATTTAAGATAACATTTAAATATTGGTACCTATCTATATACAAGTACCAGAAAGTAATATTAAAATATTAAATTCTTGGATTAAATTCCATCTATAATACCGAACCTCCCTTAAAAGTAAAAGAATACTCCAATCCTCCCATTTTAATATATAAAATAAACTCGGTTTGAGTCGATAAATCATACCCAACCATTTTAATTTATACTTTCTAATTTGACTTGCTGTTATAAAATGGAATACCATTCCATTTTTTATTTTAATTACAAAGGAAGCAAAACCCATTTCCACCATTCCATGGTTTATAATTTAAATCAATCAACTGAGGTCTAGCCTTAATGAACCACAACACAAGTCGAGTAAACACCAAAGAACATGCAGTAATGTTTGCAGTTTGTGATCAGCTGTATGTTTTAATCTTTCCTTGGAAAATATATAAATAAATAACCCCTGTCACAGAATTGTCAAAAGTTGGAAACATCATAAAAGGCAGTTGTCTTCGGAGCAGAAATCTGCTTTTTCAAACTATTTATTATTCTTAATTTGAAAATGCACAACACATGATATAGAACTAACAAAATACTTCTTCCCTGTATCAAAAATCAAAAAGCAGTTATATCCAAGTAAAGAATCATTGGAATTTATGAAATAATATAATAACATAGGATTATTTGTATTTACTTTATTTGATTTATAATTTCCATTTTATATTTACAGATCAATCAACGAACCTCTTGTATATATGAAGCACCCACCGAACCCCACCCGGATAGAAAATTGGAAGCTGAAAATCGTTCGGACACATATGCTGCTACCGTTCCGACTTTCCCATCTTTATGTCCTTCGATGGTATGTAGATCTTTTCATTAGTTAATATAAAAAGGAAAAACAATTGTTTTATTGTTTAAGCTTCACAACAGTAAAACCTCCATAAAATATGAACGCCGCATAAACAAAACTAAAGTCAACATTTAAGATAACATTTAAATATTGGTACCTATCTATATACAAGTACCAGAAAGTAATATTAAAATATTAAATTCTTGGATTAAATTCCATCTATAATACCGAACCTCCCTTAAAAGTAAAAGAATACTCCAATCCTCCCATTTTAATATATAAAATAAACTCGGTTTGAGTCGATAAATCATACCCAACCATTTTAATTTATACTTTCTAATTTGACTTGCTGTTATAAAATGGAATACCATTCCATTTTTTATTTTAATTACAAAGGAAGCAAAACCCATTTCCACCATTCCATGGTTTATAATTTAAATCAATCAACTGAGGTCTAGCCTTAATGAACCACAACACAAGTCGAGTAAACACCAAAGAACATGCAGTAATGTTTGCAGTTTGTGATCAGCTGTATGTTTTAATCTTTCCTTGGAAAATATATAAATAAATAACCCCTGTCACAGAATTGTCAAAAGTTGGAAACATCATAAAAGGCAGTTGTCTTCGGAGCAGAAATCTGCTTTTTCAAACTATTTATTATTCTTAATTTGAAAATGCACAACACATGATATAGAACTAACAAAATACTTCTTCCCTGTATCAAAAATCAAAAAGCAGTTATATCCAAGTAAAGAATCATTGGAATTTATGAAATAATATAATAACATAGGATTATTTGTATTTACTTTATTTGATTTATAATTTCCATTTTATATTTACAG